GAGACATTGGAATGGAATCAAACACATATTGCAGTATCTAAAAGGGACTACCGATATGAGCTTATTTTATGACAATAATTGCAGTCCTGATCTTGTTGGTTATGTCGATGCTGGGTATTATCCGATCCACACAAGGCTCGATCTCAAACAGGCTATGTGTTTACATGTGGAGGCACTGCCATATCTTGGCGATCGACTAAGCAATCAATTATGGCTACTTCATCTAATCATGCTGAGATAATTGTTATCCATGAAGCAAGTCGAGAATATGTGTGGTTGAGGTCTATAATACATCTTATTCGAGACAAATATGGTTTGAAGTGTGACAAACTACTCACAATTTTGTATGAAGACAATACAACATGCATAACCCAATTGAAGGGAGGATTCATAAAAGAAGATAGGACAAAACACATTTCACCAAAGTTATTTTTCACACATGATCTTCAAAAGAATGGTGATATCAATGTGCAACAGATTCGTTCAAGTGATAATATGGCTGATTTGTTCACAAAATCTCTACAGACGTCAACCTTCAAGAAGCTAATACACAAGATTGGGATGTGAAGGCTCAAGGATGTGAAATGATGCTCTCATCAAGGGGAGTTTAATGCGCGTTGCACTCTTTTTCCCTTACAAGGTTTTGTCCCATTGAGTTTTCCTTGCAAGATTTTTAATGAGGCAACCAAAAGGCATATTGTTAGATATGTGTACTCTGTTTCCTTTTCTAGAATTTTTTTTTTCCCATTGAGTTTTATTTTAGTTAAGGTTTTAATGAGGCACATTACTTATCGAGTAGACATTCAAGGGGGGTGTTATGAATAGAATTCTATTTAGAATGAATGTCAATCTTGTAGAGAGTTTTACTTTGTGGCTAAGTCATTTTCCCCCTATACATAGAGGGGTTTTACCCTATTGTAAATCATCCCAAAATTCAATAAGAATTTCCGCTCTCTTTCTACAATATTTCTCTCTCTTTCTCTGCAATATTATTCTCTGCAATAAATAGAGGGGTCTTACTTTTATTGTCTTATTACAATTTTGTTTTATTGTACATTCTATTAGCTTTCTAATGTTAACCGTAACACTCTATGAACTTCCATTGGTAAGGTCTGCGCCAAGAATTTAGATTATGATAGTAAACTTTGGTTTTTAATTCTCGAGTATTATGATAGTAAACTTTTTAAGGAGGAAATCATTTTGTCACAAAGTGGTTCAAAATTTGCAGTACGGAGTTTATCCAAACTCGCTGAGCATGAAGATCTTTCGCTGGGGAATTTTGTCAAATACATAAGTGGCATCGAAGTTCTTCTTCTTTATCAATATTTTTATCCTATATGGAAATTTTCACACAGCAGAGAAGTACTACAGGAAACTCAAAACCCACATATAAATGAAAAATTGGAGAAATTTTAAAATAAATAAATGCAATAGCAAAGGCTAAACGTAGTTGGAGCAAGTAAAAGAAAATATAGAGGATTTTAAAAGTAAAATTTTATGGTTTTTTCGTAATTTCACTTGAACCCCTTATTAATAGTACAACAACAACAACAACGACCCAGTATAATCCCATAAGTGGGGTCTGGGGAGGGTAATATGTACGCAGACCTTACCCCTACCCCGGAGGGTAGGGATGCTGTTTCCAGGAGACCCTCGGCTCAAAAAAAGCAACAGGAGACGATATATTAGTACCATAAAAATGCATAATAAAATAACAGCAATATAAGAGATATGAAATACAGAATACGAAATACGAAATAGATGGTTGGTATAGTAAAAACTAGCAGGTAAAGCCCTGCATCAATAGACGACCAATGACATTCTTAGTCTAACTCCTAACTGGCTAGTCTCACTCTATTGTGCTGTAGAAATATTCACAACTTTCCGCTAACCTACAACCTTAATGCTCGACCTCCATAATTCTCTGTTAAGGGCCATGTCCTTATTAATAATTCCCCTTATTAATAGTAGTAATAGTAATAATAATGGGGTTTTCCCCTCCGTAGTTGGATGCTTAATCAACATATGTTTCTGTTTCTTTCATTTGCGCAGCTTAAGATTATGAAACCAATAAAATAAGAGGTCGTTTGGTAGAGTGCGTTAGAGAAAATAATACATGTATTAGTTTTGTGTATTAGTAATGCTTTGTTTGGTATATTTTACAATCTATGTATAACTAATACAAGCATTAGTTATACACTCTATTTGGTATTATCCTATGTATAACTAATGCATAGAAAATCATGGCATTAGCTATACACAGGCTATTAATACATGCATTAGTATGGTTAAAGATAAAATTATCCTTAAAGTCCCTTAAGTTAAAGAATATGGTCGGCATTTTTGTAAACAATTAAATTTCTTAAATATTATGCAATGCATTTTAATTTTTAATACACCACACCAAACAATACATAAAAAATAATCTCTGTATAACTAATACTTACATTACTATCCCATATATTACTAATACACCTTATTTAACATTATTCTTATTCGCTCTACCAAACGACCCCTAAGAATATATGTGTGTTTATTTCTAACAATGCAAGTAAAGAGTCACCAACTTGGCTTTCAATTGCTTCCACGTCTTTGGCTTTATCCAAAAACCTTAATTAATCATTCACCAATTCTTACTTAACTAGTTAATTTCCTATTAATCAATAATTAACTAATTACCTACATAATTAACAACTATCTTAAATTATTCAAAATATTACCCACTTTTAACACACTTTATATAACTTATTATCATGGCCATATGGTACCTTGTATGGTATTAATCCATAAATTCCGGGTATTTTAGCTCGGGTCGTATTTTATCCCAAAATGCCAAATTTAAGCGAAATTCATTTTCTTTGACTTGCTTCCCCTTTCACCTTCATGAATTTACTCATCACTTATAATCTCCAAATAATCTTTTCCTGATGTCAATTACCTTACGACAAATTCAACGTACAATACTACAGGGTGCAACATCGTCCTAACTTAATACTGCGAAGCGTAACATCACCGTAATGTAATACTACAAGGCGTAACATCATCGTAATATAATACTGCAGGACGTAACATCATCGTAATATTGTGGGTGTAACAATGGTATTTCAAAATTAGAGTTGTGTTTGGATATAAACATAATTTGAAGCTATTTTTGAATTTTTATGATTGATTTATAGTGAAAATTTTGATAAACAGATTTTTAAAGTTTTTCAAATTCTGAAAAATTTCGAAATTCAACTTCAAGTGAAATTTAAAATTTTCATGGCCGAAAACACTAATTTCGGAAAAAAAAAAATTCGAAAAAAGTGATTTTTTATGGCCAAACGGACCCTAAGAAATACTCTTATTTATAGCATTTTGCTCATATTAAGACCCATGTAGGAACTTTTTTAAAGAATAAAATCATAAATTAAACATTCTATTAATTTCTATTGTAAGATGAATACGGTTAAATATTTCAAACAGTAATCTCTCTTTAATTCAATGATTTCCCGAAGATATAATAATCAACAAGCTGCTTTAAACTAATTATAACCTGTCAATTTCACCAAAAGTAATTATTTGTCGTGTTAAGCAATAACGTAATCGTAGATTGTACATTTAGTCAACATTAATATATCATTAGATGATTCTCGTATTTTAAATATATGGTATATGATAATATCTAGACAATGCATGAGAGGGAAAAAAGGAAAAAGGTAAAGGTAAAGAAGGAAATATCTTTTAGGAAATAGGTAAAATGCGTGATCCAGGATCACGACTTATAGTTTAATACTATCAGTAGGAGTCTTTCACACAATTAGTGGCGGACTCGGGATTTTATACAAGCGGGTTCAGTCAAAGAACATAGTAACCACTAATATAAGCGGCACCAGTAAATACAATTTGCTCACTACTCAATTTTATTCTATCATGTGACTTCAAAATAAAGTCATTGACGCTCTTTTTTAATCAAAGTTGATTATTTTTTTAAAAAACTATTTTGCTTTTAATTTTTAGAATTTTATCTATATATATTAACAAATTTATAAATTTATTGACTTTAAAAAAAATCTAACCAACTTAAAAATCTTATAACTATAAGAAATTTAACATTATAAGTATTTTCAAACAAAATATATATAAAAAAAGGAGTTATAAAAAAAATGAATTGTGGAACACGCATAAGTTTGCCGCTTTAGCCAGAGATTCAAACTTGTGACGTCTGGCCCCAAAATGAACCCCCTTTGCCGCTGCTCTACAGGTTCCATTTGTGTCAAGTAGGTTCATCTCTTACACCATTATCTGCTTTCACGATTTTCTGATGAAGTTAACAAGTAAAAATAATTAATTTTTTTGACGAAGCAGGTTCAACTGAACCTCGGGTCCGCCCCTGCACACAATAAGTGTAGATTCAATTCTTATTTTTTTGTTATTCTTCATTCACCCAAGTATTTACATGGTTAATTTGTATAACTTAAATCTTTTTTTTTTGGTATACTTTTGAAGACTAGCATAATGGTCCACTTTTTTTCTTTTGGTTAATTGGACTATGTTGTGCAAACGCTTTAAAATAGTTGTCGCACTCATATTTGATATTCCAAGAATGCACTACTTTTCGAGGATTTCACATATAACTATCGATATTTTCGGAGAGTCCGAGCAAAATAGAATTAGACATATATATAATGAGTCCGAGAAAGCAAATATCATCAAGAAACACAGACAATTCAAATTATTTAACTTTAATATATGTAGCATATCTTTAAAAGAATACATATAACTGATCTCAACTTGTTTAGGATTAAAACGAAAATGCTATTATCATCTTGAAAACCTTTAGTGTGTGTCCTTCACCCGGGGATGGAGCTAGAATACACGTTACGGGTTCGATCGAATCCAGTAACTTAAGAAATTCACTTAATGTATACAAATTATTATTTTAAAACGTTCATTAACTTAAAAAAGGATTAAAATTCCGAACACATAGCTTTAAATCCCGGCTTCGCCTCTGCCTTCACCTATATCTCCACAATAACTTGAGAATCCTCATTGACCTCACACTTATTATCAGCAACATTAGACTCAGTAACCAAATTAACAAGAAAATCAAAGATATCAGTTGCTATAACAGCAGATGCAACATCTTCTTTATTTAGAGTTCTTCTTTTTCCTTGCATGGTCATAATCCATGCCCTTTTTGTAAGTTCTTCAATGAATAATTCACATGCCTTAGAAAAAATAATGGGAGCTTCACCAGATATCATCTTCACATCATCACTTGATTTCTTCATTATTTTCTTGATTCTTGCTAATGGTAATGAGTGTGGACCTGTCTTTGATATCCTTCCTGAAAGAATTCCTGAATATGCCCCAGCTTGCCTCATTTTGATAACTGTGATATTCGAGTCGGCTTACGCGTATTTCAACTAATTTTACAGGTACCTGTTATTCTCACCAACACAAATATCGTTTGGGATAATAGGAGTGTTGTGGGAGGAGAGTGATATGCCCCAGCTTGTCTCAATTTTCTTAATAACTTTGATATTCAGGTCAGCTCGTGTGTGCCTCGGCTAATCCACAGAACACAACGTCCTAGGTACGAAGTACTTTTGGAATAATAGGAGTGTTGTGTGAGAGGAATGAATATGCCCTAGCTTGCCTCAATTTTTTAATAACCGTGATATTGAGGTCAGCTCGTGCGTACCTCGGCTATTTAATAAAATATATACCTGCTACGTCCTACCAACAAAGCTACGAAGTACTTTTTGAATAATAGGAGTGTTGTGGAGGGGAGTGAATTTAGGGTTTTGTGTGAAAAATGAGAAAGAAGGTTGTAATTGTTGGTTTAATTTGAAGAGGTATAAAAATGCATGAATATATTTATAGATATGGAGATATGTAGTAAGAGATATGTTTAATATATTTATGATATATTTATTGATATGTAGTAAAAGCAAAGAATAGGATGGCCGGCTGTCTTGGCCGGCTAGAGGGTATTAGTTAGATTATTTCACAAAATTCTTATTCAATATTTGGAGATTTTCTTATAATATAATTTTATGTTTTTTTCTTTCTTTCTTTTTTAAATTAATTTTTTTTGGCGAGATAAAATACACTTGTCCCTTCTTGATTATGTAAGAGTTTTTAAAGTGCCCAAGTTTTTAGTTTGGACACTTTGATTTTGTGTAGTTGATGGGAGATACGTAACACGTATCTGATGGAATAATCAAAGTGCATATAAACTGACAGGAGGATGAGAAAATGTAATATAAGGAAAAGGTTTTTTTCTTGCAAAATAACGCTTTTGAAAAATAATGAATTATTACTGATAACGAATCGATTTATTTTAATTAAATTAAAAAGGTTGAAAAATGGCAGTGGTGAATTGTCAATTTTTTAATTTTAACATATTTGATTTTTATGTGTAACTTTCATAATATCATCTAATAATTACATAGATGTTGACTAAATCTACAATTTGTGATTATGTTATTGCTAATCAGGACAAACTACTACTTTTAGTGAGATTGACAAGTTGTTTAATTAAATGAGCCTTGTTGATTATCATTATTTCTTCTAGTAATTGTTCCATTAGAGAGAGAATATTTTTCTGAACAAAACAATAGAATATAGCTACTCCCTTGGGTCCACAATAAGTGACTAATTTATTTTTTTATTTTGGTCCAAAATAAGTGTCCATTTATATAATCAAGAAAAAAATTAATTTATTTTTCCAAAATTACCCTTATATACATATTCCTAATTTTTTTTTACTTTTCACATTAAATTATGTTGCAACATTTAATTAAAGGTATTTTAATCACACCAACTATTTTTGTCTAAGATTAGTATTTCCTTGACGGGTGTGCCCAAGGCAAATTGGTCACTTATTGTGAATCGGAGAGAGTGATATATATGTTATATTAGTTAAACTCTTTTTCCCCCCTCGAAATCACTAAACACTTGTTATTATAATTAAACAACATAGAGAAACACTTGATATTATAATGAACAACATAGAAATGAAAACAGTAGAATTATTAATACTAATAAAGGAAACAAAGTTGGCTAGCTTCTAATATCACTACAAAAAAATAATATGAAATTAGCTACGAACTTCCTCGCTAAGTAAAATTAGCGATAATTTTTCTGTTTAGCTACAGAATTTATTGATCGCTAATTTCTGTTCAAGTATTTCAATAAGCTTCTCCTTCCATCAAGAAATTACTCTTCTTAGGCACATGTAAAAAACAAAATAAAAAGGTCAAAATTAAAAAGAAAATAGGAATAGCCATATAACCACAGGATGAATTGCAGCGATTACCATTAGCAAGAATCTCATAAGCTAATTTTCTTGCTACTACTGCAACAGAAATAGTAGTTACGAGCCCAAATATTATTGATATATATAGGTATGTGCGCGCATCACGAGTATAATCATCTTTATTTTCTATCATATTACTGCTAAATAAAACACAACAGTGACAATCAATGTCGCTTGGATCCGCCAGATGAATACAACAGTTATGATTTTCCTCACCCGTTGGTGCGTCTGTCATACTGTATGGGTTCGTACGATAGCCTCAAGTTAATGGTGCAAAAACGGGGGAGAAAGGCCTTGTAGGAGTTAGGGTTTCAGAAACCTTAGCTACAGTATTGTAAATTATATATAATTATATAAATGTGACCTGATGGTATAAAAATTCTATCATGTATAAATAACTTATAATCTTTTTCTGAATAAAAATTCATGTATTTCGATAAACATGAATATAGTGGATAGTTGTTATCCAAAAGCTTCGTTTTATCCATAAGTTTTCGATAACGTCAAAGATTTTTTATTAAAAGTTGAAAAAATTTACTTTTAAAAAAAAATTATGAAAGGACTCTCTTGAAAAGTCAAAGAGTTAATAATTTATCAAATGGTCATCCATCTTATTATTATTTCTGTCTCAAATTATCTGTCGTGTTTCTTTTTTATACGCCCCTTAAGAAACATTAGTTAGGAAATTGATTAGACTATTTTACCCTTATTTATGTCTTAATATAAAATCTTTCTTAATTGAATATTTATTCTATTTATGTTTTATCTCCATCTTCAAAAATAATTATTACTGATGGTAAAAAAAGAAAAAAAAATAATTAATTTAGTCTTGAACTTCTAAAATGACAAATAATTTGAGATACTATTTTTAGTAACCACGGCTTATAATATAAGACGGAGGGAGTACTTTACAATTACGAACTAATTAATGATCGATTTATTAAGAAAATAAAAGGAAAAACTATTTTGACATAAGCATGCCAGTTAATTAAAGAATTTTTAGTATTTGAATGGTCACCTATGACCACACCCAAAAATATAAAGTTTGAAAAATGCCAGTGGTGAATATAATCATATATCAGATTTGATTTAATGTGAAAATTTCATAGCATCATTTAATTATAATTATTGAAGTTGACTAACTTATAATCTCCGATTATGTTATTGCTTATCAGGGCAAATTATTACTTTTGGTGAGGTTTATAGGTTATTTCTAGTTTAATAAGCCTTGTTGATTATTATTAATATATGATTTTGATTGCATCATGTCATATTTAATTACTTTCTTTGGTTCCTCCGAGTTTCGATAAGTTTATTGCTTATTTGGTCAAACCCCATTTTTATTTTTAACATTGACGGATTATTTTCCTATAACTACTATAAAAAAAAAATCGTCGAGATCAGATATAGGGTGTGTTTGGTATGAAGGAAAACATTTTCCGAAATGTTTTTCAATTTTTCTATGTTTGGTTTAGGGCTGGGCATGTATTGGTTAAAACCGATAACCCGAACCGTTAATTGTTTATTAGGTTATCGGTATCGGGTTATTGGATTAATGGTTCGATAACGGTTTAGAATTTTTTTACTATTGGGTTATCGGTTCGGGGCTCGGTTTGCCAATTTTGTTAATGAGTTAACCGATAACCCAATAAGAATTAATAAAATTATAACTTTACCCTTAAGTATATATCTCTCCTATTCTTTCTCAACCGCACTCTTCAGTTGCTTCATCTTCGTTCTTCATAGACCTTACTAGTTACCTCTAGCGTAAGTCTTTAGTATACTATTTGTGAATTCTTCTCTTTTTTGCTTAACTCCAGCGAATTGTCTTCTCTTTTTTGCTTAACTCCAATGAATTGTCTTCTCTTTTTTGCTTAACTCTATATTGAGTTATCTTATCGGGTAAACTGATAACCGAACCGATAATATAGATAACCGATTAACCGATACTCGATATGTTATCGGTTCGGTTATCGGTTTATCAAATTTGTAAACCGATAATCGATATGCTAAACCGATAATATTCATAACAGAACCGAACCGACCGATGTCCACCCCTAGTTTGGTTGGCTTAAATGTTTTGCAAAACATTTTCCTTATGAACTCATTTTCCTCCAATTGGAGGAAAATGTTTTCCTTATCAAGAGTAGTNTTTTTTTGTAATTTAATTTTTTTTTTTCGTTTTACTGTCCCTCCCCCCGCCCCCGAAAAAAATATTTTTTAAATATATTTTTCAGTTTTAATTTTTTAATCTATCGGTTTAAATGTTCAAAATTTTACAAGTTCCAAAACTATGAGTTCGGAGGTTTATGTGTTTGGAAGTTTACGGGTTCGAAATTCTGCGATTTTGAAAGTTTAGCGGTTCGAAAGTTTATAAAATTTGTGGGTTCGGAAGGTTGTTGGTTTGAAAGTTTATGGCTTCATGTTTATTATATCTAAATTATTTATGAATAATCTTGAGAAGTCATTTTCCTTAATTTGCATACCAAACACCGGAAAATAAATAAGAATACTACTTATTTTCCAAGAAAACATTTTCCGTTATACCAAACACAACCATAATGGTTTTCGTTTTTCTAAAAAGGGATTGGACCAAATACACTGATTGTGTTAAGAACTTTTACATTAATAATGTGTTTTAACTAATTATAGGAGATTATTAATTTAACAAAAGGATTATAGGCATGATAACAACATGCTAACTGATTCAGTATTTGGTTTTGGTTGAGATTTGGTCCAAAGCTTATTAATCAAATAAATGTTATTAATTGCTCCTATGAATTAGAAGTATATTCTAAGAATCTTTATTATTTTCTCCTATAATAAGCTGTGTGGTCAAATATCTTCATTGATTTAAGAGCATCCAAAATATCGTTTAGGACAAAATCTAGTTGTTGGTCAATCTTCATTATTAAATTCCCCCTCCTCAAATTGGATTATTTTTTGAACATTATTACAAAAATATAATAAGGGGCTAAGTGTATTTTCCATGAGTATTAATATACTTTTGTGAGTTCGATCAAGTAATAATATGCACCAAAAGAAAAATCATCATTAAAA